TAAAATTTTTTATTCTGATATATTATTATTATAAATAAATAGAGTGAGAAAATTTTAAAAAATTACGTGCTAATTCAGAAAATTAATAACGGGATATGATGTTATCTTCTATCATAGATTCATATACGTTTATGATTCAAATTTAAATCTCGATGTTTTGATACGAGTATATTTTAATATTTTTTTTATTTAAATTCAGATTTTTAAATTTTCTATAATAGCCTCTACTACATATAGCTATAAGCCAAAGCTAAGTTTTAATGGAGATTAAAAATAAATAATAAAATAGAAATTTGGCATATATATATATATATATATATATATATATATATATATAGAGTTAGGATGACGAGTAAATAGGTTTATTGACCAGTTGAAGAAAATTGAAATCTGAAAAATTGACTGGCAATGATTTCATTATGTGGGCCATCAAATTGTACTTTATAATTCATATATACAAATATATCATACAAATTAAATATTTACACAATTGCCTCCCTCTCTTCCTCATTAATTATTGAAGATGTAAAATTATTTATTCCATAAATATATTATATGTTTAACATCTTATCTTATCTTATAATTATTCACTCAATAAAATTAAAATTTTAATTTATTAATGTATTGATAAAATTACAGTAATTAAATTAAATTATATTTCGATAAATTATTATATTTTTAAATTTAAAAAAAATGTATTTACGATAACTAAATTTCATTAATTATAAAGTCAGATCTAGCTTTTTATTCCAAAATAAAAAGCAATATTGTCTTCATGTGAATTAAATTAATATTTTCAAAATTATTAGTGTAGAAATTTGCATGATAAAAAAATAAAAAATTATTGTTCTGATTAATTGAATATGAGATTATAATATTGTTTGTATTATTATCTTTATAGGTCGGTTTTAGAAATCTTACAACGGTAAATATGCAAATGAGTGATTTTATTTATGATAAACAAATTTACTTAAATTAAGAGCTCAATTAGTTATTTTTATGATTTTTACTAACTCTTATTTTTGTATTGATGAGTAGTATGATATTTTTACTGTGTTAGTGTAACTTACTCTTTCACTAACTATTTCAGATCAAGATGACCAAGATTCGGATATCTATCCAGAAGAGAGCTACGAATAGGATGTACAGTTGTTTACTTTATATTTATTTCTTTATTTTTTCGTTTGTTTTTTTATAAATGTCATTCTCGCAGTCCTATTGGGTATTCAAAATTATTATGTAAATAATGTAAACCATAACCTTATCATTTCGCTTCCGCATTCAATTTATAAATTATTTCCTCTCAAGTTCCGAGTTGTTACATTTTAAATATAAAAAAAAAAATATGTTTACAGAAGCTAAATTTCATTAATTAAATTTAATTATAAAGTTTAGATCTAGCTTTTTATTCCAAAATA